TTTCAGGTCATTATACACAAGCTTCTTTGGAAAGAAGGAATTTCTTTGGTACACAGCACTTGCTGGAAGGAAACCCAGTCCATCATACAATGAAAAAAAGAGCTTACAACTTGCTAGCCCATTGTCTTCATGGAAAACCATCATAACAGGACCTGTGGCCCCAAAGCAGGGGACAGGATGGGGAAAAAAAAAGTCCTGTCTCAGGCTTTCTAAAATTTAGATATTTCAAAGCAAATGAGATAATGATTTAAAGTAAGGAAGAGCTGACATTTTCTCTCATCCTTTTACACTTGGCAAGGCACTCAGCTTGGCAGTCAATGTGTTCTATTCAAAGAAACGAGGCTCTCCCGAAAAGCCTATGAGCTCTCTCAGGAATGTCAGGGAACTCCAGAAATCTCCCCACTCATCCCACCTCCAGGCAGAAAGTGACAAAGGTGGATGCATGTTCTGTGTCTGCCAAGACCCAAGAAACTATACAGCAAGAATCAGGGAGTCAGCAACTGCAAGAGGTAGAGGAAGAATACGTGTCTGGCACTTGACTACATCTGCTCCTCGTCCAAAGATTTCTAGAATGTCTGTTGTTCCTGGGAGATATTTTCCCCTCTGTAATTAATTACTATGTGATTGAGAAGATTCACAGACTAGCTCAGAAAATACTGAGTGCTGAAACATATGCAAACAATTAGAAAAGAGTACAATCACATGAAGCCTATAATTTAGTCTTTTTTTTTTAAGTTTACTTCTCCAATGGGAAACACCAAATAAGAGAACTCAAATCTCCATGGTATTTTAATTCAGAGGAAGTGAATCTTGGTTTTTATTTTATCCTCTTAAAAGAAAAAAAACCCAGAAATCTGGCTTCTTTGGCAGAGTTCTATGGTGGAGGGAGCGTAATTAAGTTAACATGACCAGAAAATAAACAGAAGAAAAAGTAGTTTTTAACTTTTTTTACTTTGATGGAAACTCTAATAAATATCAAATGCCACACATTTATTAAGCAGTTCTACAGACTGTTCCTGGATGCTAAGATATCTCTAACAGATTGTTTTACAAGAAGCGTGAGACTTTTGGATGTCAACCTCATATGAAATGGAATGACAGGCGCCTTTGCTCCTTAAATTAATGCAAGGAGGTGTTTGAGAGTCCTTGGGACGCAAACAGAAAAACAGTCTATAAAAGTAAAGTTTCTTTTAGTGTTAATGCTCCTGACCCTGCAAGCCACATGCACAGCATTCTCACTTGTCTCTGCAAACCTAGACTCTCCCAGCTGAGAAATGGGCCCCAAGAAGTATCTTGGAAACAAGTGCTAGTGGCTCATGCCTGTAATCCCAACTCAGAAGGCTGAGTTCTGAGGCTCATAGTTCGAAACCAGCCTAACAAAACTAATCCATGAGCAAAAAAAAACCTAATATAGAGTGTGAGGCCCTGAGTTAAAGCCCAATATAGGCAGGGAGAAGAGAGAGAGAGATTGAAACTCTCTTGGATCTCTCATTGGATTCATTGTTGGATTAAAAAATGTACTGGCTGCGATCCAGCAGGATGTCAAAACAGGAGGCCAAGGTTAAAATGCTTTGAGAGACACTGGCATATTTTAGTGATTTATATTCTTATTTTCCAGACAGCAAGAATCCTTTTCTTCTTCATGCTATGCATTACATTCCAGTTAAGCAACTTTCTGCCACATTAAAAGCAGGATCCCAAATGTGGATAAACTTAGAATGACTCACAACTCTATAGTGGCTTGCAAAAAGTAATGTGACAAAAACATAGACACACCAGGCTGGTGGCATGGTATATATAAAACTTCTAGAAGTGAACTAGCAGCTGAAATAAATCTGTCTCTGGACAGCTGGGGAAAAAAACCCTGGATGATTGAAACCACTGTGTTGTTTTGCTATTGAAAACATTCTCTGTGAAGATACATCATTGACTGAAACTCAAACCCAATTCTAAAAAGCTAAGTTAGAAAGTCTGAGGTGGGATGATACCCATTGACCTGCAAATATGTCTTCCTAGAGTTCTTGTAGATGAAATAGGTCAAAGTTGAGAGGGAGAACAAGAAACATGAATGGGAGCAAAAACTGACCACAGAAATATTATATCCATCCATCAGAATTATATTTTCAACTACATTTGCTTAGAGAATGGGATTTGTCATAGAAAAGCTCAATGTTTTATTGAGAAATATGCCTCTGAGTTACTGAAGTGTCTGAGGATATTTTTTAAAAAAAATTTCCACCCTGTCAAATACTCCATTTTTCCACATCTGTCTTCCTGTGCTAGCTCAATAAGCTTCAAGAAACTCCCGTGGGAAACTTTAGCTTAACAACTTCACAGATGTGATTTAAAACAAATAGAGGCATGGGTTATCAAAGATATATAGATTAAATTTGGCTAAATAAATCCCTAGTCTTAGCTATATAACTTAGTAATACTCACTATACCTGAGTCTTTAAGAGAGACGAAAGAGAAGACCAAACCATGGTTCACAGTGAAGAATATTACCCAGTTGTTTTTTTGTTTTTTGTTTTGTTTTTTCTTTTTTGGTCCGGTCGTGGGGCCTGAATTCTGGTCCTGGGCACTGTCCCTCAGCTCTTCAGCTCAAGGCTAGTGCTCTACCACTTGAGCCACAGCTTCACTTCTGGCTTTTTTCTTTTTGCTTATGTGGTGCTGAAGAATCAAACCCAGGGTCTCAGGCATGCAAGGCAAGCACTCTACCACTGAGCCACCTTCCCAGCCCCTATCACTCAGTTTTGTACTGTATTCGCAACATCTTGCTTGATCTCTGGTACAAGAAAATCTTCTAGATGTAGAATCTTTGAATTAAATTTACAGAATGTCTGTGGTAATCCTAGCTACTCAGGAGGTTGAGATCTGAGGATTGTAGCTCAAAGCCAGCCTGGCCAGGAAAGTTATGAGACTCTTATCTCCAATTAACCACCTGAAAACCCAAAGTGGTGCTGTGACTCAAGTGGTAGAGCACTCCTCTTGAGCTGAAATGCTCAGGGACAGTGCCCAGGCCCAGATTCATTGACAATCACCGATCCTGTTTCCTGTTCTGAAAAATGAGTACATTACCTGCCTTTTAGAATTAAATGGAATAGCAAGAAGTAAAAGAATTTCAAGTGTCAAACTGAAATGAACATTTATTGTCCTATAAATGCTGGCTGCCACCTTTAGTTACAAGGATCATTGTGGTTTTTACAGAAGAAAAATTAACCAGTCTTTCAGAACACTACTTAAAAAGAGAGAACTATGGTTTCCTTTAATTGTTGATGGTCTTCATCTCATAGGCCTTAGGAGGCCACCATGATTATACAATTAAAAGAAATCCTTACTCCATTCTTCGCTTTTGAATCAATTTTGCTAAAGCAAAGAGAGACTAAGAAATTCAATCTCCTTACTAAGCCCTTAAGACAAAGAGAGTAAGTAGGGTTTGTAATTCTTGCTGAAGGGGTGTTCCCCTCTTCAAAAACACTAGGTTTCTACTGATGTGTGAGGTGGGATAAGGAGCCATTTAGGAAGAATATGAAAACCAACAAGCCACAAACAACAGAAAGACAAAAAGTTATCGCTGGGTAAATCCCCCAGCTCAAACCAGGATTACAGTACCAGCCTGGTCTAATCAAGCAACCCAGAGCAGACTACTTCCACTTAAGAAAGCCAAGGCCTCAGCAGAAACCTCTGCAAAGGCCAGCATCTAGCTGTTTCTTGGAAGCAGTGAGGAATGACACGGTGGGCAAGCAGGAAGCAGGAGAAGGAGGTAAGTCCCACTGGCTGCACAGATTCCAGACCTGCCCACATGCAGAAGGCCAGCCAGGCCAGCCATCGGCCAGCACAGCTAACCTGGCAAAGCGCTGGGCAGCAGGCGTGACCTTGATTCCAGCTTGCTCCAGTCTCCTGCGCTTCTGGAGTTCCATCTTGTCTTTGTCATCCAGCTTGGGAACTGGAACCATCACAGACGCCTCTTGGGGAGGCTGCTCCTCCCTGCTGCAGTGGGTTGGTTCTAACACACCAGCCGGGCCCATCGGGCCCACTGGGTCTTCTTCAGTAGGAGACCCCACTTCACTTCCCTCCTCCTCTATGGTTTCAGGATAGCTAGTGGGGAGGAGACTACAGTTTACCAAGGTAACAGACCCGCTGGGGCGCACATGCGCATTCCCCAGCCATGCTGATACCACTTGCACTTAAGACAAATCAAAGCGTAGGGTGTGATCCAGGGAATGTGACCACAACTAGAGGAAGCCATTTGTTCACTAATACAATACCTCATGCCGTAAACATTAAGAGCTGTTCTGAACTTGATCTCGAAAGGAAGATTTTCTTTTTCTGCCCGGAAAGGTGAAATTTGTCCCTGAGCTCTTCAGCTCATTAATTAAATCTTCCTTCCTTCCTTCCCTCTCCTTCCTTCCTTCCTTCCTATTTTAATTGGTGCCATTCCTTGAACTCAGGGCCTAGGTGCTGTGCTGAGTTTTGTGCTCAAGGCTAGCATTCCATGAGCTGAACCACAGCTCCACTTCCAGCTTATTGTTTTATTTTGTATTTTTCTGGTTAACTGGAAGTTAAGAATCTCACAAACTTTCTTGCCCTGGCTGGCTTTGAACTGAAATTCTCAGATCTCAGTCTCCTGAGTAGCTCAGTCTCCTGAGCCACCTGCACTCGGCAATAATTACAACTTTTCACAAAATGTATAATGGATGGAAAATCAGAGACAGTACAAGTAGATTGTGTTACCTTGTTTACCACGGAGTCTCTAAATCCTAAGAGGAAGCCAGTACATAAGAAGAAATATACACATACACAGAGAGATTGAAGGAGAGAGATGAACAAACAATTCACTTTGTAGCTGTGTTCTAGGAATCTTCTGGAGCTGCTATTTATCACCACGGACTCTGCAAGGCTCTGTCCTGCCCACCTCGGTTGGTACTCATACATTTAAGTCCCGACTCATTCACACCCAGCTTCTCCAAGAAGGAGACAGACTCAGGCTGGGGACTTACCTGAAGGGCCTCTCCCCACCCAGGGGGGAAGTGGCAGTACTCCAGCTCTTCCGGTACTCCTCTCGCTCTGCCTTCTTCCTTCTCAGAGGGGCAGGGACATAGGCTGTCTGGTTGCTCTTGTTTGGGAGGTACTGGTTGAAAGGCACTGCTGATTTCGGCTCACCGTGGGAAGTCCGTCGTGCAGACATATCATCCTTCCTCACATCTGGCAGCTTCCGATGAGGCAAGTCGGATTCGGAGTCACTTCCTCTCCCTAGGGAGAGAGGATGGATGCAGGCAAAGCGTGCAGGGCTAGCAAGACAGTGTCTGATGGAATTTGCAGGTCTCAGGGATTCCTTCCTTAAATGAGTTGCTGAAAACCAAAGGATCCTTCTAAGGGCCAAGCATGGTGGTGCATGCCTGTAATCCCATCTACTTAGGAGGTCGAGATCCAGAGAATCATGGTTTCATGCCAGACTGGGTAAAAGTTAGCAAGACCCTACCTCAATCAACAAGTCAGGTGTGTTGGTCTGTGCATTCAAGCTACACGGAAGGTACAAGTAGGAAGATCATGCCCAAGGCTGCCCTTGGGACAAACATATAAGACCCTATCTGAAAATTAACCCAAAGCCAAAGAGAGCTGACCCAAGTGGTACAGCATCTGCCTAGGAAGCACAAGGCCTGTGTTCAAGCCAAAATAAAGAAGTAAATAGAAACAACAACAAAATAAGTATCCATTTAAATTAGGTTACTTTGAGAACTGCTCTCAATTCTAATCAGGATAAACAAAACACAAGCCCTAAAGTATTTGTTTGTTTTAAAATAATGGTAAGGTAAGCCCAACTCTGTTTGCAATGACAAAGGGCAATACATTTGCAGTAGAACTATATGCCTGCTGAGATTCACAACTCTCAAAGGAAAAAAGCTATCAGCTCCCAGCGGAGGTCTTCAATGAGCAACTACCATATGTTGATTCTGACACGTCAGGATCCACAGGGATTTGGTCTTTGAGGTGTCTTTAACCCAACCACAGAGTACCTGGAGGATCTAACTTGTAGTCAAGGAGCACAGACATAGAAGACAACAGGAATTCAAAACAGGGATCAATTAGATGACGCCAATGCTTTATCCTCCAAAAGTGGCAGCATATTTTCCTGCCATCCCCATAGCTGGAGGCAAACTTTTCTTCCTATGATCCCTGTAGTCTTACAATCTGCCTTCCCCTTGCGTGCATTATATTTCCACCTCGTGCCACATAGTTTTAAGAGGGTTGAGCACATTTGTTCCCAGAGGGCATCCTTAGATCCTCTGAGGACCAGTAACTGCCTTGGTTTCGCTTCAAGAGCATTTCGGACAATGCAAACCAACGCACTGCTGCCTACAGCAGCCTTCTGTTGGGTAACAGCACCGATAATTTTATGGTATTCTTGCTGTCCAAGTCTTATCTGTTCAATTTCTAAGATGCGTTAGAATGAAGTTGTCGTTAAGACGATCAAGATTGTATAAGTAGCCACCATTTTAATGGTGATTGAACAATTTTAATCCATGAGAGTATTAACATGTCAGTTGACAACAGAAAGAAACAACCCTACTTACACTCAAGGAAAGAGCCTTCAACATAAAGCCAAGGCATGGGGTACCGTGGCAGATGGCATAGAGTAGGGTCAGAATTTGCTTCATTTAGTCTCTTTAGCAACAAGGCTTTGCATGTTACCACTTTAGGCCTTCATTTTCCAGTGTGTAAAAGAAAGGTATTAGTGTCAACTGATTTATAGGACTGTTGGAACAATGGGCCCCATGTAAAATGATTAAGTCTGTACTTGGCACTGGGTGTTTAACAAATGTGGCCTGCTTCTTGTGTCTTCATACTTGTGGTTCTTGAGAAATGGGCTGTGGGTTGCTAAGCTTGTCTAACACATTTGACTGTCCTTGTCTGTAAAATGGAAATGAACTGATTGTCCCTGGACATTCAATGATAGAATGGCTTTTAAAAGATTATAAAAGTTAAAAAGTACTGGCCATAAACAAGTTGTTCATTGTTGTACATGAAATATTCACGAAATAAATTATTCATGCCACTTGCTTTCAGTCTTCCTACTGAAATTTCGACTATTTCATGACTTTGTTAGGATCTGATTAATTACTCAGCCCTTTTTCTACAAGTGTTTTTTTTTTTTTTTTTTCTCTCATGCTGGCCCTGAGGCTTGAACTCAGGGCAGGTGACATTGTCCTTGCACTTTTTTACCCAAGGTTAAGCACTCTACCACGTGGGCCACGGCTCCACCTCCCACTTTTTGGCAGTTCATTAGAGAGAAGAGTCTCACAGACTTTCCTGCCTGCTCTGGTTTTAAACCAGAATCCTCAGATCTCAGCCTCTGGTGTAGCTAGGATTACAAGCATGAGCCATCAGCACCTGGCTTCCATAAGTCTTCACAACTGTATCGGTCTCAATGTCAAAGTGGAATGTTTAGAGCCTCCTGTGACTTGACATGCCTGGTGAAGCTTTAAGATTTATTTCCCCACTGTAGTAGCCCTGTATTATAAATGTGGAAGTAATTCTGATAAGCTAAAGTCCCCCCATGTGCACCCCCTTCCCCCCAGACCCCGGCCCTGCCATGGCTGGTTGGAGACATCCTTGGGAATCCCAGATTCCTAAGATCTTCCCTTCATGGCACATTTGCTTAGGGTGTCACGGGTATAGGAAGTATTATACCCTGTTGAATAAATGATTAAAACAAAATGATTACCCCATCAAGTGAAAAAGCATAGTAATAAATTTGAGTTGCTTCAGGGTCCTAAGTTCTAAAATCTTATATCTATGAACCTGGGTTGGTGTATAAATCTAGAGCATATGATCACATATCCTGGGTCAAAGTCTCAAAATGCACTGTTTAACATAGAAAGGCACCAACTTCACCCACCTCTATTATTTTCTGACAAATGTCTTAAACAGAGGGTTTAAAGAAATGTTCACTTGCAGAAATCCCAGAGTAGAGTGGCTTAGTTGAAAAAATGTGTAGTTTTATGGACTTAGAGCCCTGGGTCTCATTTCAGTTCTACCTCCTGCTAGCTGTGTGGCCCTGGGAGCTCACAACTCTTTCATCTTCAGGTCCTCCCGGGCTACACAGAGCTGAAACCACGGTTCTCCTGGGGTGTCATAGAGCTTGAATGAGATGAAACAAAGCACCCAGGAAGAAGCTGCACCTAGGCCCTCCGTAAACAGTAGAGGTTGCCTTATCTAAAACAGGGTTTTGGCTTTACTTCATCCTGTGAATAAGGAAATTTACCAATGTGGTTTCTTCATGTATAGTCAAAGTTGGGAAAACACAATGATGATGATATTGCTTTCTTAGAGTCTGACCCTTCCATCCTATGTGGCTAATTTTCTCTCTAGATATTTGCTTCCTGCCTTTCCTGCTTTCCTTCCTTTGCTCCTACCTTTCTTCCTTCCTTTTATCTATCCTACATTCCTTCCTTTTTTCTTCCTTTCCTTCCTTCTGTTCCCCTCTCTTTCTTCACATATCCTTGCCACTTGCCACACACATTCCAACACATTATTTAATCTTCCTCAATCCTCAAGCCCTTTAATTTTACTCGTTTCTTTTTTCCCTTTTTTAACTCCTCTTCTATATAAAATGTAAGAATGTTCATTGAGTGTGGTAACCTATGCCTAGAATCCCAACACTTGGGAGGTAGAACAGAAGGATCACAAGTTCGAGGCCAGCCTTGGCAATGTACCAAGTTCCTAGCCAGTCTGAGCTACATACCCTGTCTCACCTTACCCCCCTACCAGAGAACACAATGGACCATATGTATGAAATATGTTATCAATATTCAAAGCACCTGAGCAGAAAGCTTTGTATTTCCTCTTTAGTGAGGTCCATAGTGAATATGAGGAAGGATGTGAGTATCTAGCAAGACAGCTTGGCTGAATTTTAACCCAGGAGGTTCTGGCATTTCTATCCAGAAGCTTGTGTGTCCTATCCACAGCATCATGAGCCTTCTCTGAGTGTGGAATTAGACTGTCTATGTGGAATGGGTTAGTGGGTACCAATAATAATAAAATGAAAGCTGCCCATACTGACCCAATAGAGTTGAAGAATATCAAGGAAAGACCCCTCCTAATTGTTGTAATTTGGTTCTTGATTACCATCATTTCAAAAATTGCCATAAACTTGTGAATTCCAACATAAATTTGGCTAAGATTATATTGCATTTTTTAAGAAGGCAGATTAAAAATGTTGTTTTGCTTTCTCTTTCTTCATTTTCTTTTTTCCTTTTTAACTTACCAGGTCTTGATTAGTTTAGAGAAAGACAAGCCCTAAGGTATCAAGCTGATTGGTGTTTTGTAAAGCCCAATCCCATGTAATTCTTTAAATGGAGAAAACATTTATAAACAGACTCTAGCTTATCAGTCTTAATTGCTGAGAGCTAAATTATGCCTTGGTACATATTAGTATAATATTAGTAATCCCCATCTTAAATCCTTTCAAGATGTCCTTTATTATGAATTCAGAACCCCTGAAAGCTAGTGACAGAACAAACCATCTGGTAATAAACTGCTAATGTAGATATATTAGCAGTTATAAAAAAACCCCAAAACAACAGCATTAAACAGAAAGCATTTTTTTAAAAAAATGAAAACAATATGGAGGAAATAGTTTGGTTAAGATGTATTTTATAAAAGCAAATCTAAATTTGGTTATATACGAAAGCCTAATTAGATCATGCGTTGGTGTTTAACTTGTAGTACTGAGGATGGTACTTAAGATGTCAAATAAAATTTTAGAAATGTTTTTCAAGCAGCTCACAATATATCAGGGAATTCTTTAGGAGTCACATAACACGTGGCCCTCAGGCTAATCCATGAACTAAGCAAGTGTAAGTCCTAAACAAAAGTATTAGTTTTGAGCCATTCAAAAACCAAAACATCTATTAGGTTAAGACAAAGATGTGTGAGTGAATTAGGCCTAATAGCCTAAGAATTAAATTTAAGAGCACACTTCTTGAGGCTGACATTGGTATGCTAATTCTCTGTTCCTTAATAATCTTGGGGCAGTTACTTAAACTCTTAAAGGCAAGGCTGTTAAACAAGGATAAGAAGGCATGTTTCCTAGCTCCTGAGGAGGACGAGGTGATTTGCTGTGCATGTCCAAAATTTGTGAATAAATGAGATAGTCTGTGCTAACTTGGAACCTGCACACAGGAAATACCCAAGCATTCTAGCAGCATAGAATTTTATACCTGAAAGGTATAGTTTAACTACTAAAGATAATTTTGCTCTCAGAGAGTTGGAGTCAGTAAGTGCAATACGCATTATCATCCACCGTGCAATAGTTACTCAAAAATAGAAACAAAAAAATCCCCCACCAGCGGTGGTGTCTCACCACAAGTTTATATACACAGATCCAAGCCACTTTCCTGAAAGCACAAAGGCCAACAGCTTCTAAAAAGTGGGTGTTAAGTCTGCATCACGGTACATGGCCACCCATTTTATTATTTTTTTTAAAAAGAAACAGATCATTCCATACAGGTGATATAAATCAAACCAGCAGCCCTGGGACAAGCAGGTAGGGCTGGGTTGTGTTCACTATATTAACGGCCACCTGCATGGTACTAGGCAACCACTCAGGTATCCTGAGCATCAAACCGACTGCCCAAAAAAAGTGCTTATGAAGTTGCACAATCTCAGGCTTCAGAACTTTCCGAAATGTGTGTGTAGCTCATTTCCAGTTCGTTGGAAGTTGATCCGTTTTCACTTACCCTAGCATGGCACTCACTAAACATTTCCCTTCCTCGTAGCCCGAGTATATAAACTTGAGCACACTTTATGAGCTCATGGTCTGCACCGTGTCCTGATTCACGGAGACCAAGGGAGGAATGATGTAACCCATTTTCCAACAGAAGATATGCTCACTGGAGCAGTGCTCAAATAAACTACTGGCAAAGCCAACCCAAATTCTGAGAACTAGGAGACACATCATTCACAGAGGGTGGATTCCCTCCCCCTCCCCTATCCGTTTATAGACTTACCAGGCTCCAGCCAGGTGAATATGGTGTTCTGCCTTGCCAGCACCCAGTCTCTGCCTGCAATCAGGCACCCCCCCCTAATGATTCATTTGCAAGGCGTGTCCTTTATGAGGGTTCCGACCTACCATCACTGCTTCCCCTGAGCACTACATCTGGAGAAGGGGTCTGCCGGGAGCGGGAGCCAAACGAGTCCAGGCTGTCGAAGGAATCATCTCTGCCGTGGCGAGGCGGGGAGAGGGAGTCGCTGCGCTCTGAATCCCAGCAGTCGATGTAGCCACTGTCTCGGATGCTGCGTTTAGGGCTCTCAATGTCATCAGTCTCCTGTCCAGAAAGTAAGCAATTACAGACTTTGCTGCAAGACACACCGAGCCTGTAATGTCAGCTCTCAAAAAAGAAAAAAAAAATCCAGCATATCAAATTAATCTGGAAAGCGACAGCAGGAAGACCGGCAGGGGCAGGGTGCCCCATTCAACTGTGCGCTGCTACATTTTCCCAACCAGAAAACTGTGTGCATTGCACATGAACAACAACAAAGCCCCAAGTAACTCATGCTCCCTAATGTGGAAAAGGAAGGGGCTGAGGGGGAAATAAGCAAAGGAAACTACGAACAGAGGTACACAAAACTGAATTCCTAAGAATACACTGATCAATGAACACAGAAATGAAAAAACAATGAAAACAAAAACAAAACCTTAACCTTGACCTGTCTCTCGGAATCCATAACTGCATGTCTGTCCACGAGACGCGAGTCCCTCGTGTAGCCCTGCAGACTGACTGTTCTCGGGTATGCTAAGCTACCCGGCAAATGCAGGCAGCATTTGTTTTTGCAGCCCAATCAATGCTGGAAAATCCTGGAGCAGTGAGCATCCATCTCCTGTTACCTTGGAGGGAAATTCCTGCACTGAAAGGGGGCTGTCTTTCCAGGCAAAAAAAAAAAAAAAAGCAATGAAAAATATGCAAAATGCTTTTTCCTCATGCCTCAGAAAAATCCAGGCATGCTCTCGCTCTCCGCCAGCCTTTGGCGCTGGGGGAGCTGAGAACACTTGTAGCTGACCCACATGTTCGTGTTCAGAGAAGGGAGAACAATGGCTGTCTTTGACCGCCTGTGATTATAAATTCTTTCCAGCACAAGCGGCACATACTAAAACACTGAAACTCCAACAGGAGAAAGGTCAGTCAAAGCCATCCTCACCCTCGTTTTAGAATAAAAGCCTTGTTCCCGCCAGCATCTTAGCATTCATTACAATAGCCAGGCTGACGAAAACAAAAATAACTCCAGTCACTCAAAGATAAACCTCAATTTAATATCCTCCAGACTGTCGCTTAAAATCACCACTGTGGAGACGGGCACGCTCTCATGGGCAAAGACTGGAATGTCATCCTGAGGGTTTCCCCTGATTCACCATGAAAGTTCCCTGGGCATTCCAAAGAAAGAAAGAAATGAAGATTCTCCATATTAACAATGTTGGAAACTGGTCTAGACTCTCTGAGAGGCCCCAGGGGGCAATGCCTTTGCAGGAAGTGTCCTTGCTCACAGCTTCTAGAAAGCACTGTAGCCTGATTTCCCTGCGGAAGGCAGGAGGGGGCTGAGGGGGCTGTAAGTCACCAGGCACACACAGTTTTGAATCAAATGAGGGGAGTGGGAGACAGTACAAGGGCAGCACTGAGAAGAGATCTCTGCATCCTGACTAATGCCCCTGAATCATAGGTTGTCAAATGGCCTGGCTGAAGACAACCCCATGTGACCTTCTCCAGGGGGAAGGCCGACATTCAGTTATGGAAATTAAGTTCGTTTACTGGCAGGTCAAAAGTTAACCCAGACTTGGAACAAAAGCCAGGCCCAAAGAGCTAGAAAAAGGAAGAATTTATGATTCACTGAAAAATATAGACCATAATTAGATATGGTTTCAAATTTAATTTATTTGGAAATGCAAGTTATTATTATGAATTATTTATCTACGGAGAGCAGGCCAAATGGGTAAGAAAAGAAGTTCACTTTATTGCACATTTACTATGTATTTAGGTTTAGAGGTGGTGGTGGTTTTTTTTTTTTATGTATTCCTGGTTATATGTGGTTTTTTATTTTTTTAGATCATGCTATTTATTCCTTGACACCACCCAATGAATGATGTGGTTAGCACTATCCCTCATATAGAAGAGAAAAAAGATGAACATCAGAAAGATAAGGTGACTTAAAGTCATACAGTAAGGGACAAAGTTATGATTCCAACACAATTCTATCTCCAAATTCCAAATGGTAAAATCTGAAAAGTAATAGTCAATCATTTTTTCTTTTTTTGGGTCCGGTCGTGGGGCCTGAACTCTGGGTCTGGGCACTGTCCCTCAGCTCTTCAGCTCAAGGCTAGCGCTCTACCACTTGAGCCACAGCGCCACTTCCGGCTTTTTTCTTTTTGCTTATGTGGTGCTGAGGAATCGAACCCAGGGCCTCGAGCATGCAAGGCAAGCGCTCTACCACTGAGCCACCTTCCCAGCCCCTAGTCAATCATTTTTGATGTAGTTACAGCTTCACCACCCAAATCTTCACCTTTGTTACTAGATACGTACTGCCTCCTTAGCATGAATGATGCAAACGTAGGCTATATCCCCTGCTGAATTGTTCTTCATGACTAGATCCCTGAACTACACACACGACAAAAAATAAAACAAGGTAAAAAAGAGGGAGAGTAGAGTAATGGTTAAAAGCGTGGTTCCAGAAGCCAGACTCAATGGGTTTAAATCCTTCCTGGCGCCATCCGTGCTATGCCAGCTGTGTGACCTTGAGCAAATGATTTCACCTCAGAGGCCCTCATCTGCAAAACGGGACAAGTAGCCCCACCTGTCTCACAGGGCTGCTGGGAGCACTAAACGCGTTCATACCTGGAAAGCATTCAGAAAAATGCACCATGCAGAAACAGTACTCTAAAAGTACCAGCTGTGCTTATAATCGCGACTCGGTTCACACCGGTATAAAATTTCAAAGTAGAAACAATACAATGTTTATCAGTTAAGGCCACACCTGCACACCCACATCCTCCTCCTCCCTTCTTCTCTACTTATGTCCTGTATGTAGGTGCCTGGGGTCCAGCTTCCCACTAAAGAGGGTGGTCATTCACATCCGGAAGTGATACGCCTAAAGCAACTTGGTAGAGCATTACAAAACTGGCGTTTTAAGGAAATGTATCAGAAAGGCTTGACCGAGGGCTCCACGACCTCCACACCTATAGACCACAGAAGAGATGGGGAGGAAGGGAAAGGCAAGAGGCTTCCTGGAGCATCAGCTGTTCTCTCACAGCGAGTGATGATCACGAACAGCACACCGGCTGCCCTACCCCGCAAGTGTAGCCAGCCACGGCCCAAACTCTGACCAAGCCCAAGCAATGGGAGCTGAATGCCACCACCATTTTGGAGAGTGAACACCATGCCATTGTGGGTGTCCTTGGCTAAGCTGGAGCTCAGGGGAAAACAAAAGGCTTCTTCCCCAGCCAGAAATAAAGATGTGGGCATCCTCATCAACTTTGGGTTTTGGTCACCCAAAGTGAGGTTTTTGTGGGAAGGACAGGAGATACCAAAGGCTGACACAGTCTATAGTCATCCTTTGCGGGGGTCTAATTTCCTTGCCTTCCAACTTGGGAGTCAGTAGCTTTCTGTCTTCAACCCAGATCACCCCAGGAAAGGAGAAAAGATTGAACATCAGCCCACTGCACCAACTGCCAGTGCTCAAGTAAAAGTGGGTTAATGAGAAGGGTGGGCACTACTAGATCCCATGAATTTTCTGAATTTGTCACTCCTCTGTCTTCTTCCTATTGCCTGTGGTGAGAGATGAGCATTACGGGGGACAGGTAGTGACTTAGGGTGTTTGAGAAACTCCATAAACTGTTGCTGTACCCTTCATCATTTTCTGCTTGCTTTGTGATGTGTATGATCTACTTTTCATACTGTATTATGTCTGAACATACTACTTTTCCAATCTGATTGCCCATTCTCTGCTACCACACTGTGCTTATGGAGATGAGTCACTTCACCAATAATAACAGAGCATGCTTTATGTAGGAGACACAGTGTTACACAAAAATCAACAAACACCTGTCCATCAGGGCTTCTTGACACAAAAATCAACAAACACCTGTCCATCAGGGCTTCTTGTTCTAGTAGAAAAGACAAAAATAAACAGAAAATCATAAATGGATTGTAGAGAGCTGCGAGAGGCCGCACCTGGAAGATGGCGCCGGCTTCCGCCCTCCGCCTTCCCGATGGCGAGTGCTCTCTGTGGTAAACAACTCCTTATATGGCTAAGGCAAAGAATCTGGCTTGCTTCCACGCACCTGAACCTATTGGTGGTTCCCACGTGGCGTATCAGGGTTGGCTACCCAGCGGGTACTTAAGGCTGTGGGGAATTCTCCCCGGGGTTGGGGTCAGAAGATTGCTCAAAGGTCCTGAATAAACTGCAGAGAGAAGAGTTCGGTGTCGCGTCTTCCTTGGTGGTCGAGGCGGTAGCGACAATGGATGATAAATATCATGATGGATGGATGTTAAATAGCATGGAGAAAAAGCAAAGCAGTGAAAGGAATAGAAGTTGGTGCGAGTGGCTACACTGGCAGAGGTCTTACATTTAGTTACCTGTCATGTCCCCTCCCCTCTGTGTCCTTTCTTCTGCCAATACTTTTTACCTTCTGAAACAGGAGGAGGGCAGGACAATCAGAGGCCCTTTTGCCCTTGGTCCCAGTGATTGGCACGGTCCCTTCCTTGGAGCCATATACCTAGGGCCAGGGTAATGCATTCTTTTGCCTCTCTAGGAAGGAGCTAGAAGCAGGCAGGCCTACAGAAGCTATTAGGTACTTGTGTCTTTTTTTGAAAGGGAAAATAAATTCAAGAAAAGAGAGAAAAAGACATAAGGGGAGAAGCTACTCTTTTGAATTTCTGGTTCTCTCCCCTGAGATCTGCTTGACTCATTTTCAGTCTGAGTTCTGTAGTTAAATCCTCTTGGTTTTTTATTTAAGCCCCCCTCCTTTGTAAGGCTTTCCTGACCGACTGAGGGGCAGGCCACTGTCACCATGCCTGTGGAGATCCTTTTGATATATAGCAGCACCAATCCTCTGTGAATACCTTCTACAATATGTAGGACTCTATAATAAGGGCTGTAGATGTATTAAATACATTGTCAATGATACTATACACATCCCTTCCCCCCACTAGAACAATGCAAATTAAAAATTCTGACTAGTCTTTGTGAAAGAAAAATTAATTTTAAACTTATTTCAACCTGTGTGTATACACAGCATAAAGAATCCCAATAAACAAAGCTTTAAAAAATGTGTTCTGGAGCTGGGCATCAATAATCCTAGCTACTGTAATCCTAGCTACTCAGGAAGCTGACATATGCAGATCCAGGTTCAAGTCCAGCCCTGAGGGAGAAAAGTTTGTGGGACTCTTATCTCCAAGTCACCAGCAAACAGCCAGAGCCAGAAATGAAGCTGTAGCTCAAGTGGTAGAACAGCAGACCTAAAGAAAAAGGCTAATGGAGGGCTTGAGTTCAAGTCTCAGTACCAGCACACACACATGCACACATACACACACATACACACACACACACACACACACTGTGTCTGGATTTTCAGACCATCCAAATACAATGTCCACCAGATGCAGAATGCTTCCAGTTTCTCAGAGCCTGTGTACAGTGGGTGCCAGGGTGGGTACCATTGCAAGAACTTGGCTGGCATCACCTCACCCACACCAACGCCCTGACTGGCAAGCAAGATGACCTTTAGGCAGAAAGTGCAGAGACAAGTGTTCGTTCGTTTGTATAATACTGCATTGTTTAATTCAAGTCCTGAGCTCCCTGCATACCAAGCTATATACTGACAGATCACATTAGCACTTTTTAGACTTAAAGTGGGATGGAGCTCAGATCTTCCATTCTCCAAAGGGCATCAAAGTTCCAGGAGATGTGAGACACATGAGGCAAATACATCATCCACAGACAAATGGTCATTTCCTTGAGCACATGGAATCTTTGGTCAACACAACCCTGAAACCAGGAACTGGGTTGCTCTCCCACCTTGTCTAATCCCCTGGGGGTAAAGAAGAGCCAAGTTACCTTTCGCATCTGAGCCAACAATCCTTCAAACTCCTTCAGGTTGAGTGTGGTTCCATTATAGGAAGTACAGCTGTTTGCGGCTTTTCCCAGCCAGTAAATGGTAACTAAAACCTGCAAAACAACACAAGGCACAAGAATAGGAGAATTTGTCCTCAAGCAGGATACTTAAACTCTTCATGGGAATGTAAACTAGGACAACCACTCAGGATGGCAGTCTAGAGGTTCCTCAAAAAACTAAACATAGACCTTCCCTATGACCCAGCCATACCACTCTGGGCATCTACCTTGAGCATCATGAGCTGATAAGAAAACACTGGCCCATCCATGTTCATTGCTGTACTATTGACAATAGCCAAGATATGGAAACAGCCCAGATGCCCCCACAATAGATGAGTGGATCCAAAAAAATGTGGTACATATACACAATAGAATTTTACACCGCCATTAGAAAGAATAAAATAATGTCATTGGCAGGGAAATGGATGGAACTAGAATAAATCATGTTAAGTGAGATAAGCTAAACTCAGAGAGACACATAGCACATGCTCTTTCTGATATGTGGAAATTAGATCTAAAATACACCGGGATATGATAAATTATACAGGATATTCACACACAGCAAGACAAAAAGAGGATGCTCTTAGGAGAGAAACACAAAGACACAATGCCTACATGCCTCTGTATATTTATATAAAATAATATGCACACTGAAATTAACTAAAAGATATGAAAACAAGAGAACTCTTTTTTTGTTTTCCTTTCTTTCCTTTTTAAGCTTTTGATGATTCTGTCTTCTTTACCTTATGTATGATGTATTCAAGTGTATATCTTGGAAGGGTTGGGGGAGGGTACAGAACTTGAGGGAAAAATGGTGAAAAGGTACAGCAGTAGAGTTCACTAGACACTGATGAAAGTGAACGATACAACTTGTGGGTGAAGGAAGGGAGGAACTGGGAGAGAATAAAGGAACAGAAGATACTGTTCAAAAGGAAATGTACTCACTATTATGTTATAGCAAGCCCTCTGTGCATCACCTCTATCATAACAATAAATTAATAATAATAAAAAATTAATGCGTAACCGGGGCACCTGTGCCTATGCCTATTATTCAGGAGGCTGAGCTCTGAGGATTGCAGTTCAAATCCAGTCAGACAGAAAACTCCTTGAGACTCTTATTTCCAATTAACCATCCTTCCCTGCCCCCCCCAAAAAAATGCCAAGAAAAAAAAGATTCTTTAAAAAGCCTCCACCACTAAAAAATGAAGAAAAAAAAAAAGGAAGGAAGGAAGGGGAAGGGAGAAAAAGATGCTTAAACTTGGGAATCAATAATGCTCCAGGAACAGGAAAGCTGAAAGGCAAGAACTGATTTGCAAAACCACCATGCATGAGGTATCCATTAAATGTAAAACCATTTTAATAAGAACCCAATGCTGTCTCAGTCAACACACCATACATATAATTCAGTGAAGTAAGACTTGTTTCACAAAAAGCAAGCTTGTGACCAAGTGGTCTCTAAGAGAGCAGGAAGCAAAAATAAATCCTCCAAGATTTTTTTCATGATTAAGCTGCAACATTTTTCAGAAACTCTTTGGAATCATTACTCAGACAAGTAAATGAAAGAGACTGTCAAAGCCGTTTGAGAAAGGTGCTTCTGAAGCCCTCCAAATTTTGCTTGTGGGCACAGAGGTTCTGCTAAGACCACCTGGCAAAAATCCCAAAGGAATGATGAAGGTTAATTAGTGCTTCCTAGTACAGATCAACACAGTATATCTCATTAAAGTCAGAAGAAAGCCACACAACAAACAATGCGGTCTGTGGTGCTCTCCTTTTCGACTAACATGTGATTTCCATTCATCTGAGATGGGAACTTTTTTTTAAGCTTGACACAGCAGTCACCAATTAAACGACCTTGGATGTTTAAGAATGTCTATGAATATTCAGAGTCTGAAGCTACAGTCCTAAATTAATTTTGTTCTGTCTTTCCAAGAAAGCGTCCACAAAAGCAAATGCTCTTAACTTTCTTTCTTTCTTTCTTTTTTTTAAATGCTCTTAACTTTCACTCCGCAATAAAAAAACTACCAGGAATTGGCCAAAGATCAACTCCACGGAGCTGAATTGTAGGGACCTACAAGCCACGCAAAAGCTCAGACGATTATTTTCTTTTTATTCTCTGCCTTACTGCATCAACCAGGCTGGAAAGTTCTTATTGTGTCTTCTTCTACTTGGTAGGTCGGAAAATGCTTTGGACAAGGTGTGATAGATACATGGTTCCAGCTGGCCACTGGCCCAAAATATGGTTATGAGCATTCCTGCTAGGATATGATTCCATTTCCTACCTCTGTGGGAAATTTTTACATCATGAATCCTTCCAAATGTCCAGAAGGCCTTTTCTTAACTGATTGCCTACAAATAAATTCCTAGAGAAGAGACAATCCCAAATGTCAGGACATTAACTAGGACCATAAAATAAGTAGTGTATGTTGAGTATGAGGCTATCCTGAAAGCCATCAGAGGAGAATGGTAGATCCCCTGTGCTGTGTTTTAGATTATGGGTTTCCTGCTTAAATTTCCTGCTTAAAATGCAAGGCACCAGTGGGTTCATACCTGTAATCCTAGCTACTCAAGGGGCTGAATTCTGAGTACCACAGTTCAAAGCCAGCCCAGGCAGGAAAGTCTGTGAGATTCTTATTTCCAGTTAGCCACCAAAAAGTCAGAAATGGAGCTGTGGCTCAAGTGGTAAAGCACTAGCCTTGAGCACAAGAGTTCAGCGACAATGTCCAGGCCCAGAGTTCAAGTCCCAGACCCAGTAAAGAAATAAATGAAACAATACATAAAAGTATATGGTGAAAATGGCACATATCCCTAGTTGAATAGAGGAAGAAAAAGAATGTAGGAATGAGAATGTTAACAAATATAAGAGCAACTGGGAAGTTCCCAAAAAATAAAATAGAGATTACAGCCAAATTTTCTATTTTCTGAAGGAAGATATTTTCTCATGTGCCTCAATTTAAATTCAAAATAAAGAAGCACTAATGTACTTATCTTTTGAAAATAAGATTTAATCAATGGCTTTTTGTATGCCAACAATGAGAAAAGTGTGGCTGAAATTAGGAAAGCAACTCCATTTGTAATAGCCCCACAAAAAATAAAATACCTAGGAATTAACTTAACCAAAGAAGTGAAGGACCTCTATGATGAAAACTTTAAAATCTTGAAAAAGGAAATCAACACAGAACTTAAAAAATGGCAAAACCTCCCTTGTTCTTGGTTTGGAAGGTTTACCTTGTTGAAATTGGCATTCTTTCCCAGGCTATCTACAAATTCAATGCAATACCTATCAAAATTCCAACCTCATTCTTCAAGGAAATAGAAGAGGCAATCCAAAAATTCATATGGAACAATAAAAGACCCCGAATAGCAAAAACGCTCCTCAACGGAAAGGACAGTGCTGGAGGAATATCAATACCAAATTTCAAACTCTACTATAAAGCCATAGTAATTAAAACAGCTTGGTATTGGCATAAGAACAGACCTCAGGACCAATGGAATAGAATTGAAAACCCAGAAATGAACCTACAGTCCTATAGCCATCTAATCTTCCATAAGGGAGCTAAAACAATAGAATGGAAGAAAGACAGCCTCTTCAGTAAATGGTGCTGGCAAAATTGGTTAACTACATGTAGAAAACTAAAGCTAGATCCTTATATATCACCCTGCACCAGAATCAACTCCAAATGGATCAAAGACCTTGAACTCAAAGCAGACACTCTGAAAATATTACAGGATGGAATAGGAGAAACCTTAGGTCTCCTTGGCTCAGGCCAAAATTTTCGGAATAGAGACCCAGAAACACAACAAATCAAAGAAAGGTTGGACAAATGGGATTGCATAAAGTTGCAGAGCTTCTGCAGGGCAAATGACATAGCTAGCAAGATCAATAGAAAGCCCACGGATTGGGAGAAGATCTTTACTAGCCATTCAACGGACAAGGGTCTCATATCTAAAATATACTTGGAACTCAAAAAATTAAACCCTCAACAACAAATCCTCAAAGAAACAACTGCCCAATAAATAAGTGGGCGAAAGACTTAAAGAGAAACTTCTCTGAAGAAGAAAGAAGGATGGCCAATAGACACATGAAGAAATGTTCAACATCCCTAGCCATAAAAGAAATGCAAATCAAAACAACATTGAGATATCACCTCACCCCAGTTAGAATGGCAAAAATCAAGAACTCTAACAACAACAGATGCTGGAGGGGATGTGGACAGAAAGGAACCTTACTTCATTGTTGGTGGGAATGTAAACTGTTCAACCACTTTGGAAAGCAGTATGGAGGTTCCTCAAAAGACTTCACATAGAACTCCCCTATGACCCAGCAATCCCACTTTTGGGCATTTACCCAAATGTTTACAAACAAGACCACACTAAAGCTACCAGCACAACTATGTTTATTGCAGCATTATTTACCATAGCTAAGATCTGGAACCAACCCAGATGCCCCTCAGTAGATGAATGGATCAAGAAAATGTGGTATATATACACAATGGAATTCTATGCCTCCATCAGAAAGAATGACATTGCCCCATTTGTTAGGAAATGGAAAAACTTGGAAAAAATTATATTAAGTGAAGTAAGCCAGGCCCAAAGAAACATAGGACCCATGGTTTCCCTTATTTGCAATATCTAGTATATGTATGAGTCAAGCAGAAAAGGTCAGATAATGTGATGTCAGGAAAATGAACCCTTAGATATGTATTTTAATGTTTTTTTTCTTGCATGCATGTGTTTCTAACGCATTTATAAGATTTTTTTTTTTTTGTTTTTTTTTCCCTCCCCCACAGTATAACCCCTGCTTTCACTATATTTGATGTCAGTGTAACTTGTGGAGGAGAGGGGGAAAACCAGTTGTTTAAGGATACAGGTGGACCTGTTGCAACAATGAGAAGTACAAGTTGTCATGTCCAAAACGAGCTTTACAACGTTGGTGGGGGGGGAGGGGGGAAGGAGAAGGATTGGGATTAGGGGGGAGGGGGGAGGCTGGGAAGTGATGTGAAGGGTAAACAAAGGAGGAGGCTGCAATGCTTGGTAAGAAATGTATGCATTATCCTGCCCATGCAATTGTAATCCCTCTGTACAGTATGTTCACAAATAAAATAAAATTAAATTAAAAAAAAAGAAAATAAGATTTAACTACAAAAACCTGGTGCAGAGAGGTACTAGTAACTCAAAAATTAATAGGAATGCAAAATTCAAAAATACATGGTAGGCAACAATGTTCATATTTTCTATAATAAATTACTCAACTGCTCAATTTCATCACTCCATCTAAGCTAAGAGATAAAGGCTTAGTATTGACATTGATCACTGTGTGCTTCAAGAAAGGGATCACAAACAGAACACAAGCCTGCATGCATTTCTACACAGAGCACTTAACTCACAACTCTCCCTCCAATCTGCAGATTTTAGTGCAATAACAGTTGTTCATTATTATAGCAGAGATAAACATTCCCCTTTAAAAAGAAGGATGCTTTCCAACAAAGCATGTGAGAGATGCTGAAATGAGCTCTAATTTATACTTCCACTATCACAGTCAGAAGAATACAAGTGTAGAAAGAGAAGTTCAATTACTCACATTTTTCAGCTTCCTACTATAATCAAGGCTCCTAGGTCAAAAAAGGGAAAAGAAAATGTTATCAGGATAGCAATAGCATTATTATTGAGGTCTATTGTTTAATCAACTCTAACACTTACAGTGAACACAAATAACAAAATCAGAAAAAAAACAGATTTCATTTTTTAAGACCTATGATGGGCAAACACAGTGTAGAAGATCAAGTGAGACTGCACTATATCGTAAGAAGATACTTTGTAACATCTGGAAAATAAAAAAAAAACCTGGTTTAAAATTGGGACTATTTATATTTCAACTCTCAAAGCGTGTTGAAAGTTCAAATACAGACCATGTTTCAACCTGAAGTACATATTAATAAATAGGACCCACTATTTTAAGTCAATTGAGAGTGGAAGGAAGTAGGTGGATATGGCAGTACGTGCCTTTAGTCCCAGCTGTACAGGAGGTATAGGGAAGGGGTAGACAGGCCTGAACTGTTGAAGATTCTGCCTTGAATAAAGTCTACTGCATTTCTAAAATCTTCCTGTATAATTATTTTGTGTTGTTGTTCAGTAGTGATGCTTGAATTCAGGGCCATCAGCTTCCTCAGCTTGCTTAGCTGATGCTCTACCACTTGGAGCCCCATCTTTAGCCTAGCATTTTTTCTGGTTATTTTGGAGATGGATTCTTTTGGGCTTTTCTGCCAAGGCTAGCTTCAAGCTGTGATCCCCTGGCTCTCAAACTCCAGCTAGGGTTACAGGTGTGAGCCACTTGCACCTGGTTTTGTAAGTACTTCTAATAAAGGTCTGAAACCTCATGTAATTAAACAGGTCTGAAAATATGTGTTCCAAGAAACTGTACTATCCAAATATTTGTCCTTTGGTGCTCTAATATAAATTAGAGTTGGAAATTGGTCATAAACATGAAAATATTCATGTTATGTCCACATGTGTACTCAAATATACATAAATGTTTATTCTAAAACCGTACACAACCAAAGCTACTTGACAGTAGTTTGTAAACATTCATCCAGTGAGATATTAAATTTTCTCCAACATTTGTATCAAAGTTTTACTAACTGGTCAACAAATAAATACTAGGCCAAGCAAATGCTGGATTTCGATTCTCCACACAGAGCAGGGGAGGTATGTAGAAATGCTAGCATTATAAACCAGTCCAGAACTTCTCGAAGTATTTAGCTCTGGGTCACTTTATTGTGGCATATTCTAACCCAAGGTACATATTAATGAACAGGTGAATCATTTTAAGTCAATTGAGTGTTGAAGGACTAGCTGAGCATGGTGATACACGCCTGTACTCTCACTGTGCAGGAAGCATAGGTAGTGGGCAGAGGTCTGAAGCTGGTTGAGGCAGAAAATGCAAGATCCTATCTGAAAAAGAATCTAAAATGGCCGGGCATCGATGGCTCACACCTGTAATCCTAGCTACTCAGGAGGCTGAGATCTGAGGATTGTGGTTCAGAGCCAGCCTGAGCAGGAAAGTCTGTGAGACTCTTATCTCCAATTAACCACCAGAACACCAGAAGTGGTGCTGAGGCTCAAGTGGTAGAGTGCTCACCTTGAGCTGAAGAGCTGAGGGGCAGCGCCCAGACCTAGAGTTCAAGCCCCATAACTGACAAAGAAAAAAAAAAGAAAAACAGAGGGCAGGAAGCTTTGAATGTGTCAGTAGAAAACAATTTAGTAAACTGTGGAGATCAATCCATCATCAGGGGATTAGACTGACAGAAGCCTCCATTCATTTAGATTTGATTAACAGACTGTTTTTATGTTTCCAGTTGTAATAGAAAAAATAGTATGTCTTTATCTGTTTAGATATCTGCTAGTTTTTTCATTGAGCCACAAATCATAAATAACAAATCTATAAATGTTAATTTTTTAAGAAAAGCAAGAACTGACAATTTAAAAATGTTCACCAACTAACAGCTCATTAAGTTACAAGTTCATTGACTGAATCATGCCTGACAGTTAGTAGGAGCTTACAGGGGTTTATTGTAATTTTAATCTAAAATTCGTATGCATTTCTGAATAAAACCATCCAGTGAAATAACTTTCCTGCATATAGAGAACATTGCCTCCTTTCTGCTTGGAAGCCTCGCCCCCTCCCTAAACTGGCACCTGGCCCTTTAATTGTACAACTACTTTCAGACATCAAGCTGTTTCTTCTCCCAAGCCTTCAGCCAGTGCTTGCTCTATTCTGATTGTTGGCAGATCTTCCCATGGCTGGCTCTTGCTGCCCATTCCTGTCTTAGTCCTCAGCCTTCAGTGGCCACTTTGAGATGTCACCTGTGGATGGCTCAATAGCTTCCAAATCTCTTTGCATTTCAATGCCTTTACTTTTTCCTATTATTTTTATTTATTTTGTCTCTCAAGTTCTTGGCAATGGGGTGAAAAAAAATCACACATAGCAGGGCTATCTTGCTCATTCGGTTCTCTAGGGAAAAAAGCTTCAGACACATAGGAGTTGCTCAGAAAATATTTCCTGTATGCAAAGTACCAGAGTTCTAGAGGGATGTTATGGACAGGCAATAAGAAACGTACCTCACTCATGTAAAGGTAACCCCTCTGTACAGCATCTTTACAATAAAATTAAAAAATTAAAAAGGAAGTGCATAAGGGAAAGAAATTAAAAGGGAAGAATGGAGAAGAAATGACAAAAGAGAGCTAGACAGGAAGACAAGATATCAATGGGAGGCAGGAGGCAGGAAAGCGGACAGAAAAACAAAATGAAAGGTGAAAAGAACAAGAAAAAGATGGCGCCCTCAGAAGGGACTGCACCGTTTGTTAATATGATTTTTCCTCTTTTACGTTTCTTTCTATACATTAGTACTGCTATTTTTGTTTTTGTTGTTGTTGTTAGTTTTGTGCTAGTACAGGGTCTTGAACTCAGGACTTCATGCTCTTGTTTAGCTTTTTCACTCAAGGCTGGCCACTCCACCATTTGAGCTATACCTATCCTCATACCCTTTTGCTTTTAGTTAATTGGAGAGAAGAATCTCAACTTTTCTGACCAGGCTAGCTTTGAATCTTGATCCTAAGATCTCAACCTCCTAAATAGCTAGGATTACAAACATGAGCCACCGGCGCCTGGCTGGATGACTGTTCCTTCCTTCCTTCCTTCCTTCCTTCCTTCCTTCCTTCCTTCCTTCCTTCCTTCCTTCCTTCCTTCCTTCCTTCCTTCTTCCTTTCCTTCTTTCCTTCCCTTCCTCCCTTCCTTCCCTCCCTCCTTCCTTCCTTTCTTTCTTCCTTCCTTCCTTCCTTCCTTCCTTCCTTCCTTCCTTCTTCCTTTCCTTCTTTCTTTTTTCTTTCTTTCCTTCCCTTCCTCCCTTCCTTCCCTCCCTCCTTCCTTCCTTTCTTTCCTTCCTTTCTTCTTTCTTTCTTTTTCTTTCTTTCCTTCTTCCCTTCTCTCTCTCCCTCCCTCCCTCCATCCCTTCCTTCCTTCCATCCTTCCTACCTTCCTTCCTTTCTTTCTTTCTTTCTTTCTTTCTTTCTCTTTCTTTCTTTCATTTTTCCTCCTTCCTTCCTTCCTTTCTCTCTCTCTTTCTTTCTCTCTCTCTCTCTCTCTTTCTTTCTTTCCTTCTTTCTTTCTTTTTGTTTGCCCAGGTCTGTAATAAGCAAGCTTGATTTAGAATCTTCCTGGAAGAAAATTCTGTCTAGTTCCATTTCACAGATGAGGACATACGTCCACTGAAGCAAAGATACTTAGCTGGGATCACAGATCTGAGGGCTGCAGACTTGGGGCTAGACACTAATCTCCTGATGTCTAGATTTTTACAGATAAATGAGAAAGGTTATATGAGTTTTGAACTTTATAACCAATCAGCATCAGAATTTTCCTGCTTAAATGGCTTCGAAAATGTAAATGAAACTTCTGATACAGTCAAAGTGAGCTTTCCACCATCCTCGTGTTTGTGTGTGTGTGTGGTGTGTATGTGACTAATTACTACCTACAACCTTGCACTATTGCTAGTGTTTCTGGTCACTTGCCACCCAGGTGAAACTACAAATATGAGATGAAGCAGAACCTAAAGCAACTTCCTCAAACGATTTATAGAGGCTGGATTCAAGAGTAATAAATGGAGCATGTGATGATCAAAATGAGGGGGTATGCTGGTTCATTTAGTCAAATATCCAACGCTTTATTCTGTTACTTTTTTCACTGAACTCAAAATTTTTCCATGAGGAAAATTAAGGAATAGCATGATGAAAACTGAGAAGTAATTTTAAATAATCAGTCACAGTTGACTCTCTTTTATATCACAAATCAAATGTAAACCAAAGTTTATTGCATTCATTGTTTTCCATTTGCATTATCTTCATCATTATTATTTTTATTAAAATCAAGATCTGCAAATAGAACAATGAATAACTGAATTTTGGCTTTTCTCCCTTATCTGTTCATCCATGATGAAATGACTCCAAAAAATACTAACTCACAGACACTGTCCATGAAATTCAGTTTTAATATGAAATCATATTCATGCTGAATATTGTTTGACTATGGTAGAAAACATTTTATATGACATCAGTAGGGTCTGAAGAACTTTTAAACATCAGGCAGGTTATCTTCGCCATGTAATAAGGACATGTTTGCTTTTTTACCCAGTTCATGAGCTATTTCTCTACAGAGTAATATATTCTGTTCCAAGAAATTTTGGCCTCAAACAAGGCTCAGAGTGGATACAGTTAATAACGGCCAAGGGTCCAATATCCTTCTCCAAAGAGTTTGATTACCGATACAGATGAGGAAACAGTTACAAATGTAAATGCAAGAGACATTTCACCATTAGCAAATGCCTTCCCTGTACAATGAACAGAGTTCAGATCTGTTTACCTAGCAGTGGTCTTCTAAGAACCTGTTCAAATGCCTGCTTGAAGTCAATAAAAAGTTTTTGTCTGAGACCCACAGATTCTGCACATACTTCTCTCTTGTTACATATTACTTAACATTTTTTTCTCTTCTTCAAAATTCTAGTTGTTTTCATGATTATTGCATTTGAAAAAAATCCTATTAGATCACAATCAAAACTATACACACAGCACAGGCTAATGTGCATGTTTACAAAAAGTTGATCTTTACCAACCCATTTTAATTTTGTAAGCATCATCATTACAAAATGGTAAATGAAACCATAAAGGGCTTTCCTTTAAGCATAATTGTGTACTCACTTGACTGGGCCTCTGTTGGAGGTATCCTGGAGGTCGTTTGGGTCAAAGAGTTGAGATTCTTTAAGGCCAAGTTCTTTGCAACCTCTCAAAAATAAGATGATATTGTCCTGGAGTAAAGAAAGGAAATATTTTTTATGAAAAAGAAAAGGATATTTTTATGAACCTGACTATTGCCTGCAATAGTCCAAATTGCCGTAGGAATGGTTATTGAATCAAGTCTGAATTATGGCTTGTCCCATAACAAAATTATACTTTGTTGGAAAATGACCGAGTAAACTGACACTTCAAACTTTCAAGTCCACAAACTGCCAAGTTCGCTTTCTCCCTTTAGCTTGACACATTTGTACAAAGCTGCAAAGAAAATGCCATTGTAAAGAACTTAGTATCTTTTTAAGGAGTAGTGTTTTAAAAATCAGGTATTCTCCATTGCTACCAAACTCTTTGTCCATAACTTATTTCCTAGTCTTTATGTGTTGTGAGTCATGGAAATAAATGAATTATTCTGAAAGGGATTGCAAACTATAGGTCATTCTTTTGGAATGTTGTGGTATTAGTCAACAGGTTTATCAATTACAAGTCCCTAACTGTTTTCCTTCCTTCCCTTCTTCCTTCCTTCTTCCCTCCATCCCTCTCTCCCTCCTTTCTTTCCTTCCCTGACTCCCTCCCTGCCTTTCTTGCTTTTCGGGAGGTACTAGAGTTTGAACTCAAGGCCTCCAGATTGCTAGACAGATGCTCTACCACTTGAACCATACCCCTACTTCTCTAAAAGATTTCCAAAGCTATTGATTGGGTCTATCAGGTAGTAGAAATGACAGCTCAGGGAATGTGGGCTCCAAGAATCACATTAATAAGAATCCCCTCTGGATGCTTTTAAAAAAGCCACTGAGGAAATCTGAAATACTGGCAGGAGTTACTGAATCGTGGACTCACCCAATGCAGTTCAACAGAGGAGACAAAAAAGACAATACCATCAATGTACCCAGTGTGCAGGCAAGAATCTGCTCTTACCCCCTCCCCATGCACATACCCTAAGGTAATCTCTCTTTAAGGACAATATGATAGGTCACCCTCTGTGGTTATGTCACTAGTCAGTTGGCTCTGATTAAATAAAAAGAAAGATGATTGGATTGGGTGTGAGCTAATAAAGGGACCTTTATAACCAAAGGTAAAGTCAGAGTTCCCACCACTTGGGAGTTTTGGAGCTGCAAAGATCTGAATTCTGCTAGCTGTGGTTGGAGCTTAGAAAAGGTTTCAAAGATGTTTAGGATCTCAGCTCCCACAAACACCTTATTTCATCACCTGTGAGACTATCAGCAAAAGACCCATGTCCAAATTACCGACCCACAGAATGATAAATGAGTGAAATGATAAATGAGTGGTAAATGCTAAGTTCATGGTTGTTCTTAATGCAATAGTTTAAAAAAATTCACCATTGGCTCTAAGCAATCAGAGCATTAGCAATCAATTGTTAACCTATTTAAAGCCTTTGTTATATACCAGGTATTCTTCCAAGAAACTCATTTAATCCCTGTATAACTCAATGGAAGAGGTACTAATCTGTCTTATCATTTGATGAATGAGCAATCTGACATTCAGGACAATGAATTAAATTGTTGTGAGAAACATGGTAAAAGCCAACATGGCAATTAGGAGAAACTCAAGCATGAAACATGAGGCCAAAGGACCGTGGACAAGAGGCTTTGGGTGCAGCTCTGATGATAGAGAGCCCTTGAACTCATGGAAGGCAGAAAGCAGGAAGGTCCTAGTGGAGGTTGTGAGTGAGAAGTGATGCCCAGATCTGAGGTGGGAGTGGGGCATAGGGGGAGGAAGGAATGAAGAGACAAGAGTTAGGAAGCTGAAGATCAGTGAGGATGCAAATACTAGCCCTTGCTCACTAACACTCTTTCTTTCTGAGTGGGGCTGTGGGCTTTTTCAGAGGGCAAGTTGCACTATAGTTCACAGTGCCTGTGCCGGCAGCTCTAGATCTCTTGTTGGCTGACTGCGAGCTGATTTTAGTACATCTGAAGACATCCAGACTCTAGTTGCTTTCTGCATTCTTTTTAGTTATCAGATTTAATGGTTCCCACCACCCTCTAGTTTTCTACTTTGTTAGCAAGACATGTCTCATTGATTAACTTTATCCCAGTGAGCAAAGAAAGAGACAGCAAGGGAAGGAAAAAGGGGTGGGGATGTAATGAGTCCTTTTCAGAAGATCCTTCTTTCCTACTTATTTGTATATTGACTATTCTGCCACTAAATTTAAATATAACAGCTTCTTTAAAAAATAAAGGTTTTCATCTCAATATTTCAGTCACCATATGTGAAATAGTTTTAATCCTTAAGATGTTCACCCTTTTCTCCAGTTAGTTTTCCCAAAGATTTCCATTCATCAGTGAATGAATATGTTGACATAACATTCTACCTGCATGTAGACCTATCCCCAGTCTCAATACCCTTCTTTACTCAATACCCAGGACTCTTTTTTCAATATCCTGGCCTCCAAATGGGCCCTCCTGCTTCCTAGACAGCTAAACGAAGACTCCTCCCTGGAACTTGGCCATTCTCTGTTGCATTAGAAGAAGCAGTCAGAAGATGATGAATACTTGGGGATTGTCATTTGGCAATATAATATAAAGAATGGTTAGATAACTGAGGAGCAGCTGGTTGTGATAGCATACACCTATAATTCTGGCAACACAAGAGACAGAGATAGGAGGATCTCAGCAGGCAAAACAGGTTCGACAAGAAATGTTCTTATTACCTTACTTATGTAACTGTAACCCCTCTGTACATCACCTTGACAATAAAAAAATGAATTAAAAAGCAAACTTAAAAAAAAAGCAGGACTAGGAAGGTGGCTCAGTGGTACAGTGCTTGCCTTGCATGTATGAGGTCCTGGGTTCGTGGCACTGGGGCTCAAGTGGTAGTGCTAGCCTTGAGCTGAAGAGCTGAGGGACAGCGCCCAGGCCCAGAGTTCAGGCCCCATGACTGGAAAAAAAAAAAAAAAAGTAAAAGGACTCAACCAGTAGAACACCTGCCTCGAAAGCATGAGGCAAGACAAAGGCACCACTGGCTTGAGCAATTTGTTTTTTAATTTTTAATTTTTTGTTGGTCATGGAGCTTGAACTCTGGGCCTGGGCACTGTCCTGAGCTCTTCAGCTCAAGGCTAGCACTCTACCACTTGAGCCAAAGTGCCACTTCCGGTTTTCTGAGTGGTTTATTGGAGATAAGAGTCTCACAGACTTTCTTGCTCTGGCTGGCTTTGAACCACGATCCTCAGATCTCAGCCTCCTGAGTAGCTAGAATTACAGGTACGAGCCACCAGTGCCCAGCTGGCTTGAGCAATGTTGAGGACACCATATTCAAAAAAGGATGCACTCCTCCCTCGCCAGTGTGCATTTCAGCAATGAGAACCTTTAACTGGCACAGGATCAATTCCAAACCAAGACAGTGACCAGGGCAAATGTTCAGGTGGGTCTTTGGATGCATTCATTTTTTTTTTTTAAATGGGCCTGAGAGCTCTGTGCCTCTTGCTTTTTAAGAATCACCTGAAACCACACTAAAGGACCAAGCCCATGATCTCCATGTAGTTCCATAGGATAGGTAGGCTTGTGGCACCCCAGATTCTCAGGCCAAGCAAGAGATGCTTTTCCCATGCACATTCTCAGTCCCACACACTTCTCCGGGAACACCATGTGCAATCGGCCTGCAAACACGCAGGCTATGTGCTGCAGCCAGCCCGAACAACTTGGACTAGAAGACTTAAATAACTGCAGGTTTGTTTCCAGCTCCTCGCTGCAACCTAATGATGCTGGAGGGGAGCCAGGCCCTAGTCAGGAGCAAAGCCAGTAGGAAGAGCCACCCAGCCAAGAGCTAACAAGGGCATCTGCTGAAGCAAGGGAGGACTATGCCTTTAATTACACAATGCCTCTCGTATATTCTCATCTGCCCTGCTCTGCACATTCAGATTTTACCACATTTACAATTTTAAGCAAAACCCACAACCTAGTGTTTTAAAGGAGATGAACTGGGAGACACTGCTTTATTACAATGACAGTTAATTTTAGCTTTTACTGACACAAAGCTAGCAAAAATCCACTGAGACCTAAGTTATTTTTATAAGACAAATTTAAAGGACTCCAGAAAAAAATCAATGTTACTGAAAAAAGAACCTAAAAATTGGAGATTGTGGAGCTGGGAAGGTGGCTCAGTGGTAGAGTGCTTGCCTTGCATGCATGAGGCCCTGGGTTCGATTCCTCAGCACCACATATGCAGAAAAAGCCAGAAGTGGCACTGTGGCTCAAGTGGTATAGCACTAGTCTTGAGCTGAAGAGCTGAGGGACAGCACCCAGGCCCAGAGTTCAGGCCCCATGACTGGCAAAAAAAAGAACAAGGTATGCTTACCAGCGGGGCGCCAGTGGCTCACGCCTGTAATCCTAGCTACTCAGGAGGCTGAGATCTGAAAATCACAGTTCAAAGCCAGCCTGGGAAGGAAAATCCATGAGACTCTTATCTCCAGTTAACCAACAGAAAACTGGAAGTGGTGCTATGGCTCCAGTGGTAAAGTGCTTGCCTTGAGCTGAAGAGCTAAGGGACAGCGCCCAGGCCCAGAGTTCAAGCCCCACAACTGACAGAGAGAGAGAGAGAGAGAGAGAGAGAGAGAGAGAGAGAGGCTGACCAAATGCAATGTTTGACCTTAATTGGATCCTTATTCCAAGAAAAAGTAAACAATACTCTACAGTCAAATTTAAATGTAAACTGTATGTTGGAGGATATTGTTGAGTGAATGCTAATTTTCTTAAGTGTAGTGGTGCCAGTGCAGCTATGTGAGAAAAATGCCTTCATTTTTAAGCATGCATATAAAAACTAAGTAATGACAAAAAGCCCTCCGAGCTCCATGTCTGGCATCTCCTGGGTCCTCCTTACATACTTTCCTCACTGACTGTAGCTTTCTGTCTGGGAGGCAGGCATCTAGCCCTTGGTGTTCCCCAGGGAAAACAGACAAGGGATGGGATGGCAAGCTCCCGATGTACCTACTCTCTGGAGATTTTGGTTTTTTCTTTTGCCATCCATGGCAAAAGTGTGACATCATCATGAATGTGGAATT